TAGAAGTATTTTTTTTCAAAAATGTTAATCGTTTTTAAGAAAATAATAATTTTTGGTACGGGAAGTTCCAGCAATTTGCTTTAAGCCACGATGCCATGCGCCCCACTAGTTTATAGAGATTTTTATAATAATCTTGCACTTTCTTTTACAAAATTGTAAGATTCGCAAAGCCTCGATTATCGAGTAATTATCTTATCAGTATCAGTTAAATCGATTGTTTTCAAACTGTTCAAAGAGCTTAGACATTTTTAAACATTAAAATACCATTAAAAATCATTTGATATTTCTTAGAATATATTAATAAAATTTGTTTTATTCGTTGCTTCGAGTTATTCTTACTATTTTCCGAAAAAAAGTGTTATGTGGCCTAACTACCTACCGCGGTCAGTCAATACTGGTGGAAAGTAATGTTTTACAGGGGCCGTTTTTTCGTCGAAATATAGGTGCAGATTAATTCCATATATACCAAATAAACCAGACGAATTGAGAATAAAGTTCTGGTTGTCGTGTGAAGCCAAAAATAAATATAATGATTTTCTTACTTGGGAAATGACAAAATGAGAGATTCTTCAATTCCAATTTGAAGGTTTGTTGTTTTAAAATTGACGAATTTATTCGCAAATTTTGAATAAAATTGTGTAAATCATATTTTATCACTCACAGTGTATAAAAGTAAGCCGAAATAATACTTGTCCTGAGTTTCGAACATATCTTAATAGGAGAAAACAGCAAACGTATAACGAAGCTATTAGATTCTATTGGTGTACAAAATTTGGTGTAGTTGAGGCAGATCTGATGGCAAAGAAAAGCAACATGAAGGCAGAAAGTTGTAGGTGGTCACTTTTGGTGTTTTGCGACAATTTGGACCTAGCTGGATAAATGTGTAGAATTTGTGTAAAAAAACGACGGGTGAAAACATTTACAGGCATGAATTTATAGCTTCTGATATCAGCGGTGCATATACTAAATCTCAAGAAAACCAAGATTTCAACAACACTGTCCTTAAGTTCGGATTTGTGTGTACGAAAAACTTGTCAAATAAAATTTTGTAATTGCGTACATTTCAGACTATATTTTTTAATAACAATTAGAAGCTTATTTACATCCTATGAGCTATTTTGATTGACATTAATTAAATATAATAATAGATAGTAGTTACCCCAGCGGGTATTTACTATTAGATGCAATTTTACTGGATCAAGTTAATTGGCCATATTTTTTTAATTTTCTTACTTCTTATGTAAGGAGCAGTGGAGCAACGAGTTAATTAGGGTGATTTTCTAATTTGTGATGATGACTAGCGGATCTTGTTTTTATAAAGCATCTTAAGATCATCATGCAGAGTTTTATTGCTCTTGTACCATGTACCTGTTATCATTCTACGTAGTTTTGATTGGGTCCGCTGTAACAATGCCAGATTAGATTTGCTAGAGCACCCCCAAGGATCTATCCCGTATGACCAGATAGGAATTATCATTTTATAAATCAAGATTTTAATTCCGAGTGCTAATTTTGAATTATGCCCGAAAAACCAACAAAGTTTTCTAACTCTGGATTTGAAAATTTTGGTTTTTGTTGTGATGTGGTGTTTCCATGTTTGTCTGCGGTCTAGATGCATATTTAGGTATGCAATAATAATAATAATTTATTCAGCATTTGGTATCACCTAGCCAAAAAAATGCACTGGACGTGTTGTTTTATTAAGCGTAAATCTTATGTGGTTAGACTTGCTCTCGATAGTTTTTATCTGCCATTTTTAGTCCAGTTCTCTATAACGTTTAGATGCCTATGTAAAATTTTCGAAGCCATAGATGGAATGTGTATCCATCTATGGCTTCACATTCGTGTAGAACCCCAATGTCATCATCGAATATTTTTGTTGTGATTGATTGAAAATTAATAGTGAAGAGTATATATAAAAATGGCACCAAAACGCTGCCTTGCGGAACTCCTGCTTCAATCTGAAGTGATGCTGAAGTTTCAGTGTTGACACGGACTTTGAATTTCCCATCTGTGATATAAGATTTAAGAATATCATAAAAACCACTTGGAAGTAGAAATCTAATCTTTGATAAGAAAGAGATCATTGTCAACACCTTATCAAAAACTATCAAAGGCCTGGCTCACATCTGAAAGATTGCAGAACAGAAATTGCTTGGACTCGAATGCATTGTTGAAGACTCTTACGACTTAAACAATATGAGAAAGCCGAATAAAGCATATTTTGTATGCATATGACATTCTGTATAAAATTAGATTTTTGGTTAATTTTTTTTTCATGATTAAAATATATGTATATTTGTTGTTTACTACATTAAACAACAATTCAATCATTATTTGAATTTAATAACAAAATAGATAACTTTTTAGTAATTTTGACCGCGCGGTGGTATAGGTAGTCGCCTATCCAAAGTTGGCGGTAGATTTATTGCTAAAAAATCTATTTTTTACCTAACTTTATTTTTTGTATCAATACACAAAAATTTTATTATCATTATGTTATACAATACAAAATGATTTATCATAACATAATTTTAGACTGAACTTTCTGATATTTTTGCCTTGCTGTATTTTAAGATCGCCTTGACTTTGAAATGTGCTAAATTACGCCAGAGTCGTAATTGATTTGAAAAGTGCGAAATTTCGATTCGGCAATTCAGCGAATAGCATTTCATGAAATTAAAAGTGAACGGTGAAATTTATTAATTTGTACTTTTTGTGTCCTTGCACGTCCATTATTAGTTTTAGAGTATTTTAAAAATTCGATGATATGAGCATTCTGATTTGTCTTTATTTTAGTACATTTTTTGATTTGACTACTTTTAATTTTTAATATCGTCATGTATTTTTCAAGTAAAACTCTTTAGGCGCGACAAGGGTGTAAATCTGTGAAAATGCAACGGAAGAGCGTTACGCTCGAGTCGAGTGCCAATGATTCGTCATTCGCTCTTGATGATATCATTTCTATACGGGTCTATTGTGATTGGTCGTCGTCGCATGGGTATGATTGATTTGATGGCATGCGTATACGTAGTATGTTCCCGCATATAGTGAAAATAATAAAACAAGTGAAAAATCTGTGCCGTTGTGAGAAACGTAAGTTTATTGAAATAATTTGTATTGTTCATGGTTACTATGCATTTTTAGAAATTATTTTATGGGCAAGACTACACCTGCTCAAAGAATGAGACTCTATCACTAGTGAAATAGTCAAAAAAAGTCAATGAATGTATGTTAATTTTAATCACATGATAAGTGAAACAACTGTTCTCTTTCAAATGTCAAAGCTTACAATTTCATTTTACTGGTCCTGAACGTGAAATATTACAAAGTTGCATATTTTTATAAATAATTATAAATAATGAAGAATAAATTGATATTCAGATTCATCACTCTAAACAAGAAATCAATCACGACAATAGTTTTTCTAGCTGTGTATCATGTATATACAGAAATACTTCATAATGGAAATCTATGCAGAATTTATTAATCAAGGTTCAAGGCTGAACCTTTAAGGTTCAAGTTTGTAATTACAATGACAAACCGATCATGTCGTATTTGAATTATGACTTTAATTTCATTATTGTTTTCGAATATTATAAATATTTTTAATGCTATTAAAAATATACAATTTATAATTTATTATTAAATAAACATGTATAATGTTTGACATTAAAAAATGTGTGCATCGTGAGTGTTACCATATTACTAAGAAACATTATTCAAAATTGTTATATGATGTATTTATTTTTAACTTAAATGCCATCTCGTACGATAGCAAAACTGTTTTACTTCAATCGCGTGTGAGCCTTACGCGCACTCTTTTTTTTATTTCAATAGTTAATAATGTTAGTTTCAAATATTCAAAATATTAAAATCAGGAAAGAAAATCAGCATAGCAATTGATACTTAAGTTATGATTGTGCGTGAATATTTATCTACAACAATAACTGAATACAATTTATAATAAAACAGAACACTAAATTCTTTCTTTTCCAAAGTCAGCACAACAGCTCTGAATGCTGATAAATATAGGAAAAAAATTCTCTTTCAACAGTATATTTTAAAAATTTTGTTTTATATCTGACAAATATTCTGATGATGTCTCTTCCTCTTTTCCATTGATATCTTTATCGTTTACATAATAATGCAATATTTAACCGTTTGTCGCATAAATATTTTTATTTTCAACTGCTCAATTAATAATCTTATAATTTATGCAATTCATTAAAATATGTCAAGGAAAAATCTTCCAAGATTGGTATCTTATACTAACAAAGTTTAAGAGAGAATTAATATGAAATATGGAGTTATAAATATACTCAATCTCGAGATGAGTAGAAAAATAGAATAGAAACTGACTGTAAATTATAATGAAGTTATGGGACGGATATTGTAAAGTTGAGTTGACCGATTATCGATGGAAAATTAGAAATAAAAGAAAATTTATTTTTATTATTGTGTTAAATTTTGATTGCTGATTATTTTTGTTGAAATATTAATATTCAGAACATGTAGAGCACAATTTCAGAGTAATTTATAGATATTTCTACTCTTTCGCTACGAGCGACTTCTATAGACGACATCCACTTGACGAGCTGTGGGTGCAAGTGTCACCTATAGACGACATCGAATGTGTCGGCTTTTGCTTCAATATTTACCACTCATTATTTGAGAATTGAGCGTTAATTATTGTGGTTTTAGCTTTTTAGAAGTGTAATTTTTATTTTTGATCGGTAATGACTTGGAAGTATGAAAATATTTTGTGAATCAGTTTATTGGCTCGTATAGCAGCGCCACTCCTGGGGAATACACTCTCGTAGCTAAATTTAAAAAATTTGTATTAAAATAACATTTAAATCTAGACGGAAAATATGTGATACTTATTAGTATAATATTAGGTGCATGCACTATTACTTCCGCTGTTATTTTATTCATATATCAATTATAATATAATATAAAAATATCTTATTAATCTGCTTATTTTATTTTTGCAGGTGTGTATAATGTCAGACGCAGTGGTGGCAGGAAGTGGCGGACAACCTAATTCTGGACAAATCAAGAAAGAATTATCGGAAGGCATTATATACCAGACCGCAGAAAGTCCAGGATCAACATGCTGCACAGCGCTGTATTCCGATGTAGAAGTGATAAAGGTGAGGAAATGGAGACAATTATAATTGTCTAGATTTTTGTAAATTTTGCTAATACAGTGTAATGATGAAGTACGACTTTTTATTAATTATTTCAGATGGAAATTTCGGATCATTTTGAAGTTGTTGACCCGAAATCTCTACAAATAGCAAATAGTCCGGGTAGTCCAGATAGACAATTCTGCAGCTCAACCACGGCGTCAATTGGAGAAATTACGACAAACGTTAGTAATTATTTATTTGTTAATTACTAAATAATAAATCGATTTTTAAATTATATCAACTAATAATCAATTTTCGTTGTCGCTTTTATTCCAAGAATATGTTGCGATTATAAAATATAGTCGGATTTTTTTATTGACAGGATGATATTAAAGAAGATAGTCCAAGGCGTCTTTGCCTTGTGTGTGGTGATATAGCCTCTGGATTCCATTACGGCGTTGCCTCATGTGAGGCATGCAAAGCATTTTTCAAGAGAACAATACAGGGTATAGCATTTATTCTTTTTCAATCAATTAGCAATTAAACTGAAAAAAGTACTAATTCTTTTTGCTTGTTAAAATGGTGTAATTTTGAGTTTATATTTATTTCAGGTAATATAGAGTATAATTGTCCGGCAGTTGGAGATTGTGAAATCAATAAACGGAGGCGGAAAGCATGTCAGGCATGTCGATTTCAAAAATGTTTAGCATCTGGTATGTTAAAAGAAGGAGTTAGATTAGACAGGGTAAGAGGTGGCCGACAAAAATATCGAAGAAATCCAGATACTCCTCATCAATTACAAGTTGTATATCCACAAACAAAGATTAGCCTAGAAGGTATGCAACTGTTTTATATAAAAGGGCTTATACCCATCATTTGTATTTGTAAAGTGTCTTTAATGCTTCATATTTGGATATGGCATTTTTGGATTCTATATATTTTAATTTTTAAATTAGTTTCAATATATGTTCATATCCACTGTTATTGAAAATTTCATATTACCAAATTATATATGTCTATGATATCGAGTTAACTTTTATAACGAAAGTCAACTATTACTGAATTTAATATATTCAAAATGTTGAATATTTTAAAACAAAATTTATATTTTGTCAATGTATTTATTAAAATTTCAATTTACCATTGATATGAAAAACTATTGATAGAGCCTTGATTTGAAAAATGTCTTTACATTTTTTTTTTTTTTAATTCTTAGAAATAAATCAATTCTCTGAAAACAATTCATCTGTATTATACTATTTCAGATATTAAGATTTTAGAAGTGCTATCAACATGTGAACCTGAATTGTTACATATGGGCCCAATTATGACGACAACAGACTGTGCAATGCATATATTGACAGCTCTTTCAGATTTGTATGATCGAGAGCTTGTTTGTGTTATCGGATGGGCAAAACAAATACCAGGTATAATAAAATTTTATATTTATTATTTATAAAACTTTAATAGTGCGAGAGCAGAATGCTGTTAGCAAATGTTAGAAAATTAAATTAAATTATAAAGCAACCGCGTTGCTAGTCTTTTTGAGCCCTATAATTGTAGTTAATATTTTTTTAAATATATGCACTTCCCTGAAAATTTAGTTCTTTATATAAAAGTGAATACTCAATTACAAAAGTTTTGATGCAATCATTTTGTAAGCAGCATTATAAATAATAATAATAATAAATGGTAGTCTGCCCGAAGGCTGGTTCATGGTGTGAGAGCCACCACAAATAAATTATTCCCTTACCCTTCATTCCATTACCACTATTTTCATTCCCCTTTTTTTATTTCATGCATTATCAATAAGTAAGTTGACAAGTTTTTTTCCAAATCAACTGATAGCAGATTGCTTTCGAATTCAATTGATTTTTGTAAAAATGTAATGTAAAATTTTCAATGTCAAAATTTTGGATTATCTGCAGTATTTTAACAATTGCTTTTATTTTACTTTGTTCACAAACAGATGTCTGTATTATGTACGTTAATAAATAGAACTGAAATTACAATTTGGTTTATTTAATTACATATTTTTATAGGATTTGCAGACTTACCGCTAAACGACCAAATGCGGTTGCTACAAGGGACATGGGTGGAGCTCCTCACATTGACGTTAGCATTTCGGTCTCTTCCTGCAGTAACGACTTCCGGCACAGTGATCGATCCAGCAGCCGTAGCAACAAATGGTGCCAACTTAACACCATCTCTCAGATTCGCGACCGACTTCATATTGGAAGAGCGTTGTGCGAAAGAGTGTAATGCTCTAGAATTATATCAACAAGTCAGTATATGATTTTTTTTATAGAATATAGATCATTATTATTATTTTGTTGCATATTGATTTGTAGACTTAATAGCTGATACATAGTTTTGTTGTATAGCGAAAAAATGCCTTTATGCATCCCAGACTGGTGTTTTGTCTGGGTATGTCGGACTCACCTTCGCTTTGCCCTTGCCTCTGGTACCCACGGAAACCGCCGTTAGGCATTACTTCGTGGGGGGAGGATCTAGAATGTTATAATTCTTACCTTGAAGCTGATATTTAATTAAATATTGATTATTGATTCGGATTATTTACTATTATTGGAATAACACATCATAAATACTATTTAAATAAACTAATGTAAATAATAATTAACGTTATTAAGATTAAAAATTATTATATATAAATATGTAAAAATAGTTTAAGAAAGGAATCATAAACTTTAGGATTGTTTTTTTTAAATTGCGTAATAGAATTTTATGAAATATTATTGATCTAAATTTGTTATATGTGTTTATCAACATTCATTGCTTCACACTATGTAGATTTCAATCAAAACTTGTTTGATTTTTTGTGTTTTGTACATTATAAAGAAATAAATAAACAAATTCAAAATAATATATTCTAATACCAAAATGATACTTAACAATCTAACTATTTTTTCGCATAATTGTGGTATTTTAATTGATATTAACTAAACTTACTTTTTTGTCACAGACTGCAAAGGTTGTTGAAAGATTGCATCGTACAGCGTGCACTAAGGAAGAATATTACCTTTTAAAAGCATTGGCCCTAGCCAATTCAGACGCCAAATTAGAGGAACCAATGGCTCTTCATAAATTTAGAGATGTCATTCTTAATGCCCTCAGTGATTGCGTTTCCGTAGTCAGGTGATTATGAAATTATGATTGAATTAAATAACGATGTTTTATTGTAAAAGCTATTATAGCATATCATGATAGTTAAAACTATTGCTTTTTCTTGAACCATAGGCAGAATTATTTAGCTTACATTGTTTTTTTATTTTTCAGTTCAAGTAATGCGCAGTCACAACTACAAAATTTATTACTGATACTGCCTACATTGCGCCAAGCCGATTACGTAGTTCGAAAATTTTGGACAGCAGTCAATCACGATGGAAAAATTTCCATGAACAAACTGTTTGTTGAAATGCTGGAAGCCTCAAGGTAGAAATATTGATATTATAATATTTATTAAAACAAGAATTAACTGCATGAATATTTGTGAATTGCCTGTTTTAGATAAACCCAGTTAATGATTATTACATCAGATATATCTACATGTAATGTATATATTTTGAACAAATTATTATAAGAGGATAAGCAAATGCAACTTACATTTCATGAAGGAAAACTGCATTCTCTCAAGTTATAGTATTTCTATTGGATTATTAAGTAAACAATGAATATTATATTCATAAGGAATTGGTTTACAGCTACGTAAATCATATCATTAGCATTCCAATAATATATGAAATTTGACAATAAATTAATTTATTATTTCAATTAATTTCTCCTTGAGATTTAAAATACTCTTCAAATTTTCTACTTCAATGGTGATTTGCTTTAAATGTTTATCTGAAAACACAAACTTTTTGAAAATGTATTTATTTAGTACTTTTAGTCATAAATAGAATTATAATCTATTGGCTTTTATTTATGCTATTTTGCCACTACGTGGATTGTTTACAAATATATGATATTTGAGCTAATGCAGTTTTTATGAAAGATCATTTTTGATTTTGCAATTAGTTATGGACATTGTAAAATTAATCAAGCAATTACATTTAGTTCATATTATTGTAAGAAACTGTTGATAGCAATAACATATTATGTTTTTATTTTAGATATATAATATTTATTTATTATTCTTAAAATTTATCATTCTTAAAGGTCTTTATATATACATAGCATGTCACAAAGATCTTTTTCACTAAATAAGAATGAATTCTTTGTTTATTTCATTTGATCTATTATATTTGATTCAATGAAAATGAATTGATTATTTAAAATTTTTACATTAACAAGTATACAAGAAACAATAAAAAAATAAGATAAATTTTATATGCGGGCATAAAATGACTGATTTGTTATTGATGACGATTTTTATTTTATTTGTGTGAGAGAGAGTTGCAAAATCATTAATGAGCTAATTTATGTAGAAAAGAGTAAGATTTGTGTTTGCAATGTCAAGAGATTCAAAATATCATCCCATTTACTATAAGATTCTTATAATAATAATTATTATTATTAAAATATATGAACATTTGTAATGTAGATATGGCACATAATATTATTAGTCAATCTTAAATTTAAAAAATTTGTGTAGTCAAATGTGTGTCAGAAAATCTATGATAAATATATATATTATAATATTATATATTAAGAAAATAATATAAGTATATTTTCAATATATATCTATGACAAAAATAAGAGAATGGGCAATTCAGAATATTTGGAAAAACCTTTCTTATAGGTTTACATTGTGCAATATTATGGATATTTTATAATACATAAAGTTTGTTTGTATTTATTTCTGTAAATATATTTCAGTTGTTATATTTGAAAAAATGACAGTAAGAACAAAAAGTTTTTTCACATAAATTACATTTATATAATTGACCATTGAAACAAAGATTGTTCTTTTTCAAATTAGTTCTGGACGGCTCAAATACATTTGTTAAATGACAATGTATAATGGCTCCTTGCAAACAAAGGTTCTGAAAATTTCAAGTTGATGTGTACATATATTATATAGAAAGTTAAATAAAAACTTATATTTTTGATCTAGAAATGTAAAATATTGTGCTACCTCGATGAACCCCACATTTTTGGGGTGAGTATATTACCAAAATATGATAAGGACACTATAAGGAAAGGCTGTGTATTGTTAATAAGTTTTAATGTGTTGTGAATTGAATGATATAAGATAAATGATGCAAAAGGTATAAGTAACAATAGAACAGTTGCTACAGTTTTGCACCATTGTCATTGCTCATTAAATGAGTCCATCAAACATTTTCTAAATAGGATGTTGATAAAGCTTTTTTTACAAAGTTATTCCAAATAATGATTATTTTATTTTCATTATCTGTTATTATTTGTGATGATTGTATTATACCACACATGTTTGCTTTGGGTTTACTGTCTTGCAAAAACAATTAGTTTTTAATTTATAACATTTCTAAACTAAGATATACGAGTGGTGCAACTACCATTTAGGTTTACAACAGCACAAATTTGTTGATAAATCAAGTGCTATATAGTCAATAAACCAGTTAACGCGTTACATGCGTAAAAATGTTAATTTATTTATGCATTTCAAGCAAAGTTTGCAAATATACATTATGTTCAAGCAAATTTTGAAGAGCTAGTTCAATAGCACTCCACAGTTTTCGTATTATATCTAATTTTTAATACAATTAGATTATACTTGTGGATCTTCTGATAATTTTAAATTTTGAAATAGTACAAATATATCTTATCCCATATATTTTAGAAATATTCATTTAATGCTTGTGATAAAATAAATATGAGGTTTTTCTGGTTATCAGAATATTAAATTTAATTGTTAACCACATGGTAGATCCTTCATCTTCTGAAAACATTTTCCAGTATGATAAAATGCACGAAGATCAGTTTGCATATACATAAAAACATAAGATGTATTTTGTAGATCCGTTGGGTTTTTCGAGGTTTTGATATATATATTCTTTAATATTATAAATAATCCTCATATCAATTAAATAATTTAATGAATAAACAATATGTGTCCATATATATAATAATAAGATAAAATACACTAACATGGGCATGATGACTATGCATGTGCTTCGTTTTTGTTATAACATCAAGAAGTGCTTGATGCTCCCGTATTCGTAAAATAAAAACGTTGCATATGAGGCTGTGTCTTAAACGGGAAACAGAATTTACGATGGAAATGTAATTGTGATTTTAATGATAGATAAACTAACCAAATAGTTAAGGTTCTGCATTTTACAAATATATATATTTAATGGAGTTAGGTGCTTTTTCTTGCATCGTTTTTTATTAGAATTATTATATAACACTCAGGTCAACCAGTAAAATCAAAATGTTAGATGAAATATTTTTCTATAGAATATATAAAGCTATTATTTGTTTATTTCTTGTATAATGATATTTAACTATAACTTGTGATAGTGTCGGGCTAAAATTAATTATTAATTATGTAAAATAAGAAAGTAGAAATTAATATTAATTAGTTTGGAAAAGTATATTTACTTATATTATTTTGGTATATTTATAAAGTCCTCAAAAAAAATTGAATAATTATGAGGTACCAAAAATATAAAATCTCATTTAAATATCGAATGATATTTAAAATATAATATATTTTAATATTAATAAACTGGATTAATTTTCTTTATATCAACATTAGATGAGACTAAGATTAAGTAAACTTTAAAATAAAATATTCATTATGATTTAAATATTATTATTTCTATATGTTATTGTCAAATAATTTTGTTAATTTAATAAAATTCTTGTTATTTAATCGATGTTTTATTGCTATTCAGTGCAATAACTTAAACTATGAGCAATCTGATCTAAAATGCTTAAAATTCTTTGAGTTTTATAAAGTAAATTTGTTACGTTTGAGAAAAATGCATTTAATCACTAGATGTTTTGAAAAGATGCAAATCTTTCTATAATGGTTCCAGATCAGTTTTGAATTTTCAGGAGATCTCGTAAATTCATGCATTAAACTATTGTTGATTGTATCTTCGACTTAGTTCTCAGAATAAACTTTTAGTGTGTTAATATTACTATAAATTAGAAATAAATGTTCATGTACTTTTGAAATGATTTAAGTGGCGGTTTAAGAGAAGTCATTACAGTGTTGCCAACCCTATTCTTTTATCTATGAGTGAAGCCTGATGTTGAAGGATGATTGTTTACCTTATTTTTTATTTATTCCACTATGATGATCCTGATTTTAATCTCGTGAAATGTAAAGTGAAAAGATTTAATTCATTTGTAATTACTGACAATTAAACAAAGTAACCGAATGTAACTATTGCGTATTGTGGCGTATTATTACTGAACTGGCACCAAAAATCAAATTCCTCATTGGCAATACTTTTCCTGTTCTTTTTATTGCAAATTGGTTTATTACAGTTGGTGTTTACTGTTTTGTTGTGAAAATGTTCATTTTATTGTGAGAAATTTGTTTTGTGGTTAATTCGTCTTGTTATGATATCAATTAATCTATAAATTCAATCGGGATTGCATAAAACTTATAGCAATTAGTAATATAAGTTTATGAATTAACTTAAATACCCATGCACATTTATAACCTATGAATCCAATGTGAATATATGAATTGTAAATTAACAGCCATGTGGGAATTGTGTCAATTAATATAATCATATTACTTATATATAATTATATATAATGTAATCGTAGACATAAGAAAAAGGTAAGTGGTTTTATTAATATTAAAAATAATATCTTACTTGATACTAAATGTGACTTATAATGGATTCGTTTTCAGTGTATATTACACTTGTCAAGTGGGTAGCCATAATTTGACAAGCGGAAATTGTGGTAAGTGTTTGAAATATTTATAATATTTACTATAGTTTATTGACGACCATCAATAACTGATTTAAGAGAATTGCAATATGTAGCAATTGGAATCGTGATTCAATCATATTAAAATTGTGATTCAATAATTCAAGTAAACATTTATATCGAATAATTTACGCCATAAAATTTTAACAATAACAAAATGTCTGCGTCGAAAGCGCTGTCTTCGCAAGTCTTTGTTTTGATATCGATATTATTCATGTCCCACCCAGGTAGTTTAATCATGAAAAACTTAATATGCGATTTCTAATTTATTTAATTATAGTCGTTTATTAAAATAGAAAATACCCACTAAGCCAAAATCCGTAATATTTATGTAATTTTTACGCAAAAAAGTTACATACTTATGTCATTTTTACGTAAGATTAATGTAAGATATGTGTCATAATTTCGCCTATTTTAAGTAATGTGGATTACGTAATATGGATTACGAAAATATTTCATAATAATTACGTAATTTTTGAAAAAAAAATGACGTGGAGGGGCCCTTTTTTACACACATACATAATTACATACAGGCATATTCATATATATGAACACACACACACACATACACACATATGCGTATATGTGAACATATACATTCATGAACTTAGGAATGCGTATACACATAGTATGTACATACATATATAATTTTATGTATGTACATACACACACACACACACACACATATATATATATATATATATATATATTATATATACTATCTGAAAAATAAAAGAAAAAGCACATTTATATGGTATGTTTATTTTTTCGGCATATGTACACAATTTTAACATTAGCAAATCCACGAGTAATTAATAATAATTCACAATTTTATAAAATAATGTAATTACATATGACATATTGATCAACATTTCCTGGCAAATATAAAAGAAATGCAAATTTAAAATTAAACTCGAAATAAAGATCATCGAAGTATCCTTTACAAAGTCTTCATAAGTTCTTTCACTAAATATTTCATGGAATATATTATGTAATTAGGAATTGTATCTTCAGTTAAAACTAAATGTGGTATAAGTCTATGATGTCTTCTTTACAAAAGCATTCTCGATATCTATTTCATGTCCCATTTGTGATGAAGAAATGCATCTCGGATATAAATTATTAGTTTCGATTTTCACCTGAAATAAAAAACATGGTAATAATTTCTATTTAACTTTTAATACATATGTTTTTTATATACTTACACAAAGCAAATGGTTTTCTAAAGGTCAAGAGATTCTGTTATAAATAATTTGTCACTGATTTTTATTAACAATAAAATAATATTTAGAATATGAAGAATAGAATAGAAGTTATTATATATCTAATTATTATTAGAAAAAAATTTAATAACACACACTATCAATTTTTAGGTAATGGAGCGTTTTAGAGTAAAGATTTAAGTAATTCATGTAATTTAAGAGCCTTTAAAAACATTTATTATAATCATATATTTTCACATATTTAATATCACTTTCACATTTAATTAGCAAATTAAAAATATTAATTAGACACTACAAAACACACACTTAATTTAAAACACATGGCGAATAGTCCCATTTCCCATAATGCATTTCAGGATAACTTGTTAACTTGGCATCATAGCCTAGGCTAGCGGCCGGCGGCACTTATGTCGGGTAAGCCGTTCATTGTTGACAGTTTCGCTCATGAAACGAAATATTCCGAAAAATCACGAGCTGTCGATCTTTATGTAATATATATGAAATAAAATCCTCATTTTTCTTACGTAATATTTTTTGCAGGCAAATTACGTAATATTTTGTAATTATTTCGTAATATCTATATACGTAATGTAGATTACATATTTCTTACACTAAAATTACGTAATATACGTAACTGGTTTAGTGGGTTATTTTTATAAGCAAGACAGATATTACAGCTCCTCAAAGAATGAGACTGTATCGCCAGCGAAAAAGTAAAAAAAAAACAGTCAATGAATGCCTGTTAATTTTAATTACATAAAGTAATTGATTATTTATTATTCATTTTCAGGTTTAGTTTTCAGAAATAAATTTAATATAGGGGGGAAGTCCCGTAAAGCCGGACGGCACCAAGCACCGGACACTTTAACACGTATTATTTAAGCGAGTATAAATCTTTTTATTCAAAATACAAGTGAAAGGGGCACAGGGGGCACAGGAGGCACATAGGTACAGGATCACGCACCAAGTCTCGCCTGTGACGCTCACGGCCACGGCGAGAGCAACCCTTCCGTTTTAGAAGCAAAATCACGGCGTCACCTAAATATCAATGGAAGTAATTCTAGCATATTTATGCATTTACATTTGAGTGGTATGCAAAGATAAAAGTTTGTACTTGATTGTTATCCGTAAAATGGTAGAATATCATTAGATCTTTTAACCAATTTTAGTAGGTGTCACCAAATGAACCGTAAACATATTGATATTTCTTGTGGGAATTACGTAATTATTTCAACTATTTAATTTTATCCTGTATGAGTGCTAACGGTCACCACATAGTCCATTTTTTGTATTTCCTAG